ATTCCTGCTTTTTCCTCTTCCTGATTCAGGTAAGAGAGAAATCTCAACTTTTTGTTTGCAGGACAGAAAAATCCATTTTATGGGCAGAACTGCCAATCAGTCTTATCCTCTGCCTTTGCTTTGTGTTAATTTCACCCCTCTGTTCTGTTGTTCTCTACTCACATCCTGACATGCAATTCCTACCTGATTACCTAGGCTAAGTATAGATAGTCACAATGCTGATGACTGAATTGATTCAGTCTTTGCAGGTTAGTCTATAAGCTGCATAGGTTGAACTGATACAGCAAGTGAACAGACATTCACTTTTGATCCTGGAAATGCAGTTATGCCTGCAGTGGTCCAGGCCAGAAGCCAGGGGGCACTAGACCATGTCTCCCTCCTTGGCTGGAGCAGATAGCTTAGGACAAGGGTAGCCCACCCAACCTGTGAATGGGGTGGTTTGTGAGAGAGGTGAAAAACATCCTGGGATGCTAGGGAACTGTGAGTTAACTTGAATTTGGAGGGCAGCTGGGACGGAAGTTCAATAAGCCGATTTAACCTAAATCAGTTAAGTCCGATACTACATCCATCCAGGCTTATCTTAAACCAGTTTTGGCCCATTTGGAAGCAGTTTATGTGCACTGAACTTCTGTTGTGTTACAGATTTGAACCAGCTTCCAATCACTTATCCTGATTTATGTAAATTCTGTCCCTAGCCCTAGAGCTCTTTGCCCTCTGATTGTTTCAGTGTATTGCTCAGATGCGTGGGATATTCTTTTCTACTGGTAGCTGGGAGCTTCAGGCCCCTTGGTTTTTGGTTCCTGCCTACTTCAGCAGCCATGACCACTGATGAGCTATGTCAGTTGGCTCTTCACTTCCATCTGCTTTTGTAGGTTTTCAGGCTCCTTTGCATTGAAGTACTTGGACACCGTGAAGCAGTATGAGTTCCTGGGGCCAGGTGAAGCAACTGATCATGTGGTGAAAGCTCTCTTCCTTCTCAATTACTTCTTACTACTGAGGGCTTTGCAAGCTACAGTTCCAGGCCTGTTAGACCTGTACTTTCTCTGAAGCAAAAAGGGTGCCCTAGACCAACATACCTCTCCTCAAAGGGGGAAAGGGGATTTTGTTAATTCCAGGCTTTCCAGCAATACCAATTTACAATGATCTGGCTAATTACTAGAACATTTCTCAGGCATACATGATCTCAAAAGACCTTGGGAAAGTGTTGACTGGATTCTTTGCATTTTTAAACAAAATTTGTATTTAACAGCTGTATCCTTGTGGCTGTCTTGATTGTTTATATGTAGTCCAGTCCCACTGGGGCTGCCACTAGGAGAGCTGTGGATGTGGAAAACCCCATAGAGGCACGGACATGCTGAGGAAAGGGACCAGGTTCATGCTCCTCCACGGACATTATAGTTGATCCTAAGACCCCATGCAATTCCTTCTCACCTGGACTGCTGTGGCAGTTCCACAGAGCTAACCTCTGGCCTGGATCACAGACAACTGATGACTTGCAACTGCCTGTTCTCCTCCATATCTGCTGTAATCTCCACTCCTCTTACATACCAGCTCCATGATGGAGCTGACAACCCCTACCAACTTCTGATCTAAGCTGAGGCACAGCCCAGATTGTGTCTACTTTTGGGAGCAGCACATTATGCACAAACCTGCTGCCCAGAGCTGGGCATTTTGCTCATGTGGGAGACCAGACAGGAAGTTGTAGCTAGTTCAGTGTCACCAGCCAGCAAAGAAAATGGCAGCTTGAATGGGGGAAAAAAGTAGCAAAGTTTTCCTGGACACTTTTCTGCTTGCATGTCATCAGGTGTAGAAGAAGAGAAGAGTTGGGGCCTCCCTCTTGACAGGTCAAGAGGGCTGACTTACCCTCCCAGGATGAGGGTAGCTGAAAATGGCTGCTTTTTGTCCCCAAGTCTGATCTGATTCTTCCAGTCTGTGTAGCAAAAGGAAAGACTCTGCACCATCCTGCACAGTTCTCTGTGGTTTATTACAAATGGTTTCTGTGAACACAGACACATGCATACTACACAGCAGTGCCAGGCTGGACTCAGCATCTCCCCTGCAGAAATCCCCAGTGGATCATGGGTATTTCAATTCCTTCCTCCCCTCTGGGGAAGAACTTGGCTAAACTATGTTGGGCACAGTTGACAATAAATCCCCTCACTATCCCCAGGAGCTTAAGATGCCTCACCCTGCATGGGGATAGGCCCTGGCAGCTATCAGAGTAGCAGTGCAGGGACAGACTCTTGACACTGGTCACAGTTAAAATGTTGCCTGCACAGATAAGACCAGCTGATAATGAAGAGGAATTTGATGAGATGTCCAGAAAGTGTCTAGGATGGCTCAGAGACCGTCCTGCCTTGAGTATGGGGTTGAACTAGGTGAATTCTTATTCCTTCCAGTTCCATACCTCTATGATTTTACGTACAGGGCTGGAGGAGAGGCAGTTTGGGCATAAGACAGCAGGTGTTTGGCAGTGAAGGTCTAGAGGCAGCAGGCAGGTGATTTTGACATGTGGGTCCTTTGGGTTCAATTCCTCTTCTTGTTTCGTGATACTGCTTCCACCTCCAGGTACTGTAGCCCAATCAACATACCCAAGATGGAGAAACCTGAGGCAGGGATAGAAGGTGAGCAGGTGCAGGGAACACTGTTCTTAGGACAAGAGCTTTACCCCTTCCCGCCTCATCATCTGAACTGTCCCAGCCCTGAGGAGGCTTGAGGAAGAGCTCTGGCTATACTTACTTGCTACCATCAGGGGAGCCATCACACCGATTGTCAGGGCTGCGGTGCGGTAAATGAACACTTCAGCGAGGAAATGGGCCAGAACTATGAAGAAGCTGAAGAGGGTGATGTGATAGAGGCTGCCAGGGAACAGAGTGAGAGAATGGTTACTATGTAGCCCAGAGGACTGGTACAGGTGTTGCAGACAGGGACAGAAAGAGATGGGAGAACTAAAACAGTCAACTAGTCTTTCTTCACAGTGCCACAATCCCCAAAGGATGTGGGAACCACATACCAGTCCTTTTCCAGACCCCTGTGCTTAAGGCTTTTTCCTCTCAAAATATTCCTTGAACTCTTAACACATGCCCAAATTGTTACAGCTGTTTGCACTAAGACTGTTCTGCTGCTGACAGCATGTTGCCCTCACCCCTGCTAATTACTACAATCCACCATGCTCATCTTAAACAGGCCAGAAAAGTAAGATACTGGAAATGTCTGATAATTTTGGTAACAAAGTGTTAAAGGCTTACCCTGGTTTATGTTAGGCCTAAATTGTAACCAGCTCCAGCTGAGAGGCTCTGGGATAAGCTAATATTTCATAGTTTCATAGTTTTAGGGTCGGAAGGGACCTAATAGATCTTCTAGCCCGACCCCCCGCCAGGGCGGGAGAACAACAAAAGAACCCTAAAAACAAAAAAACCGGGACTCAAATGAGTCCAGCCAGGTAGGTATCCAGCCTCTTCTTAAAGATCCCCAGGGTAGGGGCCAACACCACCTCCCTTGGAAGTTGGTTCCAGCTCCTAGCCGCCCTAACTGTGAAGTAGTTTTTTCGGATGTCCAATCTGTACCTCCTCTCCATCAACTTGTGCCCATTACTCCTTGTTATGCCAGCGGGGGCTAGAGGAAACAGCGTCTCCCCCAAACCCTTCTGGTTCCCCCTAGTGAGTTTATAGACGGTCACCAGGTCCCCCCTCAGCCTTCTCTTGTGGAGGCTGAATAGGTTCAGGTCCCGCAGTCTCTCACTGTAGGGTCTGCCCTGTTGTCCCTGGATCATGCGGGTGGCCCTCCTCTGGACCCTCTCCATGTTGTCCACATCCCTCCTGAAATGGGGCGCACAGAACTGGACACAATACTCCAGCTGCGGCCTGACCAGCGTCGCATAGAGGGGGAGGATCACCTCCCTGGCTCTACTCGAGATGCACCTGTGGATGCACGACAAGGTCCGGTTAACCCTGCCAGCCATGACCTCGCATTGTCGGCCCATGTTCATCTTGGAGTCAATAATGACACCAAGATCCCTTTCCGCCTCCGTGCTCTCAAGTAGGGAGTTCCCCATCGTATAAGTGTGCTGCTGGTTCCTACTACCCAAGTGCAGCACCCTGCACTTGTCCGTATTGAAACACATCCTGTTCCTGTTTGCCCACCCCTGTAACCTATCCAGATCCTTCTGCAATCTCTCTCTCCCTGCTAGCGTGCTCACCTCCCCCCAAATTTTGGTGTCATCAGTGAATTTAAACAGGTTGCTTTCCACCCCAACATCAAGATCGCTAATATGGGGACAGAGTCAGTTGTAATTCTTTCCTAGTTCAGATCCTCCTTAAAATACAGTTCTACCTGGCAAAGTAACTGGGTACAAATGGCCTCTTCTCACTCTGCACTACCCCTCCTTTTCAGGTAGCAGGGTCAGAGGTGCCAGCACCTGTGATTGAACTAAGTCCCTACAGGTTTTTCTTCCTGGTATCCCGTAGGAACCAGCCCAGCCAAGAGAGAGATGAGTCGCAATACAGGGTCATAATAAGAGTTCTGTTCATGTTCCAGTCTGTTGCACTAAACAGTCACAAGGTAATGATGCTGCACAGGTAACACAGAGGACAGCATTTGTCCTGAGGCCCCCTTGCTGCTGCTGATGTGCAAGAAGGAAAGAATCCAGCTAGATTCTCAGAGTGGAGGGAGGGGAGGGAAGGCATTTTTACTTGTAAATGTGATCCCACTGTGACACACTTGTGGGTAGGGTAGGGACCAACTTAACCTGCAGTATCTGCCATTGCTAGAAAATAATCCATCAGATTTCCTGTGAAATCAACTAAAAAACAACCCCAAACCAGCATATTATTCATATAATACTTTGTTTTAGAATCTCCAAATCCTTACTGAGCTACTTTGGCTGCAGGAATTGCCACATTATCTCTCTGGTGCTTGAGACTTAATGACTACAGTGATGGCAAGGTGTCTCTGCCAATCAGTGGTGAGGGGTGGGGCCACCAAGAAATGCCCAGGAAAAATTGGCCCTTTGTGCCGCAAGCAAGCCACAAAAATGGCTTCATCTTGCCATTAGTAGTTCTCTACCTATGGGGCCCTACACGGCACCTTACAATTGCTTTTCAGAGAAGAATGGCACTTGATAAGGAAACTAGAGGTGTCTGGGAGTGCCGAGTTC